CACTGGTCTAAGTGAGTCCCACAGACACATGCACATGCAGCTGAAAGTAAAAGTGTTTCTTGAAACAATTATAGTTTTAGTGCGGCAGCCATGTTGACAGTTTATGAGGCAGATGCACAGCTCATAAATAACCTCAATAATGATGTGTTCCCATTTAATACCTGGGTTGCTGGGCTCAGATAATGATTCAGACAGGGCTCGGTGGAAAGCCTTAGTGGGACACTTAAACTGAATGGTGCCATCGTTAATTATATTAATTGCTTCTGAGTGTTTTTCTGCTTTGTTAAATCTGAAAATGTGCTGCAAACACTTCTCAAGTCCCACAAAATCACTTGTATCTCCTGCCTCCATAAAGCTGTTAACTCCTAGGCCAGGCTGTACCACTGGGTATTGTAACATAGAAATCAATAATGGGGTGTGTGATGAACAGAAGTGAAGTCAAACCCACATTCAACTGTTACTTTACAAGATGATTATGTACAGTAAGTGCTAGTATATAAAACGTGAGACAAAATGAGTTTTTGGGGACAAATTAAAGTGGGCAAATAAATGGACACCTCTGCTGAATTGAAGTAATCAATCACTTGAACTGAAAAGTTCTCATAACATAAAAAGGCTTTTATAATTGCGTTGTATAATGTATTTATCGATAATCTTCTAATGCACAGCTTGGTAGTAGCATGGGTGAAGTTAATCTTGAATTTTGAATAAGCACATCAAGTTGTCCACATATTTAAAAATGGTGAATCATACATGTAAAGAACAGTATATGCAGAAATGATATATTATCTTAGGGCTGGGCAATATGGTGATACAAATCTGACTATGATCTCGTCCCAAGAAAACTGTAATGTTCTGATATCGAGATCACTCATACTTAAGCATGCGCAATCTCTAACATTGAAATATGTCTATCAAGGGGCAACAGTAATTCTGTTGGTAGAGCATTTCTCCTCAGATCCAAAGGTTGGTAGTTTAAATCCCCCTCTAAACATAAACAACACTGGTAGAGTGGTCAAATCCACTGACCCACAAATTGGCCATGCAATTCCATCTCCCACAGATGAAAACTGTTGGGCAAGACACTTCAACCCACCTCATTTTCGACATCTGCATCTTTTTGAAGGTGAAAGTGCTATATAAAAATGTGACCATGACCATTTACCAAGGCTTGTTGAAAAATGTATTATTTTACATTTGATCACAACGACAAAACCATCCGTTTTATGTTCTAAAGCACAACAGATTGAGTAAGGTTGTGCTTGTGGCTGAGTGCACTTGCTCCCCTCTCTTGTGTCTGTCTGTATCTGAGGAATAATCCAGGATAAAAGTGAGATGTTTAAGCGGTCTTAGGCTCAGTCTGCTACACTCCAGCCACAATTGGCACACTGTGTTTATCCCAATTATGAGGGAAAATGCAGGGAAAGGAGGTGAGGGGCGTCGGGCTGCACTTTGTCTAGACAGTATTCATGATCCATCTGTCTGCCACTGCCACAGCAACAGCCAGCGGCAACAAGATGGTAAACTCCATTAGCACACAAAAATTTTCACTCTCTCTCCTCCCTTTCTCTGCTTTCTCTCCTTCCTCTCCTCTCTCATCTCTGCCCATCCTTCCTTAGCCCTGCCAGTCTTTTTTGGCGATCTTCTTTCATCTCCTCTACCCCATGCCTGGCTGCTAGTCTCACAAAATATGCAGAAAATTCATTGTGCACTTCCCCTTCACACGGACCGCAGACACTTACATTAACATTCGCTCGAGACAACTAAATATTTTAAGTACCGGCTCAGGATTGGAAATGAGTAAGCCCACAGAGCCACCCCTCCCGCTATCCACCAACTTACAAAAAAACTCAAAAAGAAAAGAAGAAAGCATGGTCTGGTTGGTATTGCAGAGGGAAAATAAGATGAAAAAAGAAATTTACAAAACAATGTGAAGGTTTGGAGGTGAGTTTGGGGAGAAAGGAGGAGTAGTGGGATGAAAGCTGACATAGGAACAGAATTGCCCTAACAAAATCATAACCTATATCTGAGCAGCAACATTTAAATTAAGCTTATATATATATTATTTGTACTTTTTGTTAACCGCAAACTAGTGAGCAAAATATTTTTTATTGTAACCATATACTGTTAAGAAGTGGACTAAGACAGTGTGAGGTCACCCATAGCATTTGGCTCCAGTCAAATGAAGCTCATGAGGCTGACAGTTATATGAGCGAATTTGAAGCAGAGTTCTATATTAGGAATAGAAATGTATTCATGGACAAAATAGCAAAATAAAAACCAGGGTCATGTAGAGCGGGTTAATATGAACATTTTAGGACCAGAATAACAAGGCTCACTGCAGCAGTTACAGAGGGTGTTTATGATTATAACATTGGGTGAGATAGCAGTAAGGTAAGGTACACTTTAACCTGTCAGGAGCAGTATACTGCTGACCCATCTCCAGGGCTCTCTCATCGCTCTATCCCATCAACCCAAATTATGTACAATGAGTATAATCCTCCAGCTAAGGTAATCCTGCCTATTTTAAGATCTGGAGATGGGTTCCCAGGCACAGCACTGCTCCTCTATGGTTCCCCCAGTGGCATTGAAGGATGAGCCAAATGCAGCGAATTAATTTCCCTTTCATGAGATAATCAAATATACATTAACCTTAGTCTTGAGCACACAATTATATCCAGCTGCAAAATACAAGAATTTCATTTCAAATCATTTTAAACAATCACCTCAAGATGGCATTCAGGAAATTCAGGAAGAATGTAAATTTATAGGGTTACAATAAAAACAGTTTATAGTGCCATGTCAACACAACTCAAGTTATCCAAAAGTTGAATAGGCTCCACAGGTAGTAGATATGACAGAATGTGAAAAATAGGCTGAGACTAAATCAAAGCCCAATGGCCAGCAGCAGTAGCAGCAGTGAACGTCATGAAGCATTAGTGGAACATATTGTATCCAGTCTGGTTTTGGGAAAGTCCCAAACCCCAGCGATGGATGGCCCGTGCAGCCGTGCACCTTCACTATAATGACTGTGATGTGTCAGGAGAAGTAACAGAGGAGTGTGTCAGAGCTGGCAGCAGGTGTGGGAGCTGTCAGTCAAAGCACTCAATAACTATGCATCATCAGTTGACAGCTAATTGGCCCAAACTCAGAGGGAAGCTTGTTGAGCGCAGCAGATCTAACCTGGGCACTGGACAAGGGACTTACTTTAGATTAGAATTAATTAATATTTCATGAAAATTCAATAAGTGGACTCACTGGAAGTTGTACAGAACAGAAAATGTGAATTGTACGTAAATACCAAGTATAAACTGGGGAGAAGTTTTAGCGTTAATTTAATTTATAATTTTATTGGCCACAAATAGCTAAATATGTGCGTGTATTTATAAATTAAGGTTCCATCTGTAATTAAACTGACAGCCCCTGTTGTATTCTCACCTATCAACACTAGTTGCTAACCTCATTACTGCTGTTTGATAGTGTGCCAGCATTGACCTGATGCAAAGGTGAGTCTGAACAAAGGACAGGTGAGGGGATGAACAGGGGAACAGGTTTCACATCTGCCTTCTAAAGGTGAAAAAAGCTAACAAATAAGTGTACAGATAGTAGTATTTCAGTTTAGTCCCTGTTAAAGCAAAAAACGTGGCATCTTCAATAAATATACTGGTTGGCAATTACAGTAGACTAAACTTTGTTGATTAACATTTAACAACTTAGAGAAAAACAGCAGTAGTTCACAGAATAATCCAAATATGACAGCCCTTGAGCACACAAACACAGACATGGTGAGGATGAAAGCACGATATAAAAAGTTTCCCCTCTTCGCCTAAAAGTTGTTGAAAGAGAACGGAGCAGCACATCAAAGTGTCCTGGCACACAGCCACGGCGGCCCATTGGAGTCTCTCTCTCCCTCTCTCTCTCTCTCTCTCTCTCTCACTCCCCCTGTATCCTCCCTCCATCTCCACACAATCTCTCCTCCCTGTTTCCCTGTTCCCATTGATCGTGATGGGCCAAGGGAGCGCTCTTATCCTGGTCCCCAACAGAAGTGCACAGCAGGGGGCACAGGGGGGCCCAACAAGATTCAAACAAAACAGTGTATAGGAAGAGATACAGTGGAAGACTTACCAGAGCACACAACTTATATAGTTAAGTAACTTCAGTGCAAAGGAGAAAGTTTTCCTATTAGACAGTTCAGTCAACTTGTGCTTTGGGAAAATAAGTAGTACATGTACTCTTTTTTGCCTCTAACCCCTTACATTTTCAAACCTATTAACACCCACCACATTATCACAATGCCATTTATACTACTCAAATCATTACAGTGTTTATATATATCTGTAAGTATGTACAATTCAAGTTATCCTACTTCTATGTTAAATTATGTAACAGCCATAACCAGTACCTTTTACACTCATTATATTGCAAATGATATTAAAAAAATGAGCAGATATCTAGAGCTCAAAACAAGTGACAATTAGTGGTTATTAATCTATACTTTCTTGCAGCTGCCTTATCTTGTTAGTGTATTCTACTTTAAGTTAAAACATGGTAGCGTAGAGATTAAAATAGGCATTATGGGGCATTTTTATGTAATGATTCGTGTTTTTTTTTTTGTGTGTTGCAAAATTAAACATTTCACCAAAATCTGGATTGTGATTAAGTACATAAATTTCATAAATCTTTCTACATGCATAGTGAAGAGTTGGGGATGACATGGACATTGGAAGCTCAACATCAGTGCTGCCTCAAATCACATATATACAAAGATCTAAGAGAGGACAATATGGGTTGCTTCACAAATAACTGAATTAAACGCATGACCATAGAACACCACTCATTTACCATATTGCGATACTTTTTCAACAACAGCTGTATATTTTTAATTAACCAATCACAGCAATGCACAAACAGTATCCACACTGTCAAGCTCGGGACAGATTAGCATAAGATCAGGAAGTCTCAGCATAAAAGTAAAAGATGAAGTGTTTGGTGGTACTCACAGCTGAAGATGCCCGGGGGAGGGTGCTGCGTCACCACGGGGCAGTTCTCCTCATCACTGTTGTCTCCACAGTTATTCAGCTGGTTACAGATCAGAGAGCCCAGGCGCAGACACTTACCATTGGTGCACTGGAACTTGCACTCTGGAAGGCAAAGGGAAAGGAGCAGCTATTAGGTCAGTCTAATATGGCATTCATAATCTCATGTACGTAACGTGATGCTTTTAGTTCAAAATTCAAAAGAGTTTGATTTCATAATATTTGTGTTGAAGTGAATTTTGGACATAGGACCTCATTTCCAGAGTGTTGGAGATGTGTGGAGACACTTTAAAAAAAATATTCCATCCAGTCCTTGTTTTGCAAAGGTCGCTGGTGCTAGACTAGTGCATGTCAATGGCCATAGTTATCCTGTCACTAAAAACAGTCTTACCCAGTCCACAAAACACCCAAAGCAAATCTATTATTACGCCAGACTGTCGACGTGAATGTCTGTGTTGATAGAATAATTTAGAAGTAAAACCAACCAGCAGCAGCGAGTTGTACTTGGGAAGCTTGGGTGCGGCGGACTGATATCACCTAGCACCTACCTTACGGGGAATAAAATTCTGCTGCTGCTGAGAAAATAGTCCCTCAACATGTGACAGTTCATGTGATGCAAGGTTAGTTTTACTTCAAACATTATTCTTTCAACACAGACATTTACATGGACAATCTGGAGTAATAACAGATTTGTTTCGGGTGCTTTGTGGAGTGGTTAAGACTGTTTTAGTGACAGAATAACTATGGCCATTGACAAGCGCTGCTAGTGACCTCTGCAAATACAAGGACTGGATGGAATATTTTAAAAAGTGTCTCCACAGGAAGAGGTCCTATGTCCAAAATTTCAGACTGTCCCTTTAAAGTTGCAAATATTCATAAAGATATTTTTGCTGTGTCTCCATATTCCATGGCATGGTTACATCTGCTTTAGTCTTCAGAAATACAAAACAAAACAACAACAAAAAAAAAACATGCACTGTTAGTGTAAGCGAGTTAGTCTTTCCACAGATCAGACCTGTAACTTAGCCTGGTGGTGTCATCTATTGTCTGCATGGAGATTTTTTTGCTTTAATGAGAATGTGGCATTTATCTTATGGAACTTATGGACTATGTAGATACAAGCAAGTGACCAGATTACAGATCTGTGGAGAGGTGATCCCACTCACAGTAAGAATGCATGTTTTTCGGGCAATAAAAACATATGTAATTTAATAAATACATATTCTAAATTATACGTTGCTGTACTGCAGAACATTCCAGTCAAAATCTTTACTCTTTGCAAAAATTAATGTATTGCTATGACTAATGGTAGTGGATCTTATAAAACTTTTAATTTTAGAGGTTATACAAAGAACATTATAAAACTGAAAAGTATTTGTTGTGTAAACATTGAAAAAATGCTTCTACTTCACTTCATTTATACTTTTAAATGCAACTGAAAGGTTTTAGTAAGTGGTTTATACTTCTTATTAAATCTTTTTTGTTATTTCACTTTTGAAAAATTGGGTGGTCTTTAGTTTGGATAAAATACTTCATTTTTTGAGTACTCTTCATTTTCAAAAAAAAGCACTGATGCAAAAACAAAGATTTCACTGTTTCCCCTCCCAAATAGCTCTATTACAGACAGACAAAATGTGATGAAAACATTTGATTAAAAACACAATTACACAATGTTCTGATGGGGAAAATGAAAGAACCAAGAGAGTTAAAAGCCACCCACACAGTCCCCAAGCTAGCATCACCAAAACATGGAACAAGCATGGATAGACTATACAGCAGCTCTTATCTGTGAATGTACAAGGTCGGAACAAGCCATTTTCAACATAAGCTTCAACAGAAAGAAGAGTTAATGTGTTGAGTTCATCCCCAAAGAAGGTCAGATGAAAACTGCGCCTCTCACACAAATAAACCGTTTAGAGATGTCACGGCTCCCTCTGGTGATGGGATTTTCGGCTCTTTTATGGGATCCAAATCTTTTGGATCGGTTCATTTCAAAGAGCCGTTCAAAACACTGGCTCTTTTACCATTTATGGATATGATAGAAGGCAATGTGAGAACTCATTTTCAAGGTGCACTGTGTAACTTTTCTGATGTAAGGTCCGTCAAATTTTTTCTCTGTGGAGATGTTATTCCTTTGTCTGGAATGTTTAACAGTATGGTATTAAACCATTCTATCATTGAGAAGATCAAATCTGACCAAGTTACAAGTCAGATCTGTGGCAAGGAAGCACCACTCACAATCAGGATGCATGTTTTTCATGATATTTTTGAGCTATAAAACCATCTGCAATTAAAAAAATGTAAAGGAGAGCTGTTTAATGTCATTCAAAGCAGAGTAATGACATATCCACAGAAAAAAGCAGGTGATAGACCCCCAACAGAAAAGTTACATAGTGAACCTTTAAAGGGCCTATATTACACTATTATCTGATCTATGTTTATAATTTTGTTTCGTCCTCACAAACATACTTGGAGTTTCATTTACACATGTATAAAACACAAACCCTGCATATTTAGGCTGAGTTCTTCTCTCAAACACTCTTCTGAAAACACTCGGTTCCACCTTGTGATGTCATGTGGCAATACAGGAAGTGCTCCTCTGTGTTTGAAAAAAGTCCCTAGAATCATTTGGATGATTTCAGCCCTTTAATTGCCAATCTCTACTGAACTAAAGTTAAAAAAGTAGCTGTTAACTTGAAAACTACGATTACATGACATCACAAGGTGGAAAGGTAACAACATTCTAACATGACTTAAGGCTCACAAGAATCAATTTGTATAATATAGGACCACAAAAAGATATTTAAATCTTTATAAACAGTTCCAAGCTCTCACATACTTAAAACCTTCACAACAGCTTTAGAAGTATTTAGTATTTTAATGTATCAAGGTGCTAAAACATATTTTGCTTAACAGACGCCTGTATAGTTTTGTGATGAGACCTTGTGATTAGATTTCGCTTACATTACCAGTGAGTGCATATTGTGAGGGGAATGAAAAGCTGTTATAATAAAAAAATAAGTGAAAATAAAAACTGTCTGATGGAGCATTGTAATTGCAACTGCAGTAAGAAACTGAGCTATGCGCAGAATCTCCTGATAATGGAGTTTATTTTGTAAAGCAAAAGCTGAGGTAAATACATTTATCTTATTTTCTGGTTCTGTGTTAAAGTGTCTATGTCAGATTTTTATCATTCTCAAATTTTGACTTAATTGGGTGGGATTATGACTGTAAATATAAATTATAGTTTTACATAAATCAAGAAGCAATTCGCCAAGAAAAGATATTGAAAATTACAGGAAGTGGAGAGTTCAAACATAATAATGACATCACACTAGGGAGAATTCTGTCCAAAAGTTTGGCACAATTTCCATGAAAGAAAAAGAAAATCTGATACTTTAAACATGATTTCAACAAAATATATATATATATATAATTTTTTTCAAATATTTTTGTACATTACAGGAGTTTTGCTCAGCAACAGTTACAGAATTTCCTAGTTTGATGTCAAAAAGTAAAATTTTAAACCCCTCAAACCTGTGTGAATCTTAAAGACGATGATCTTTAATGTGACGTTAACCGTCTTACAGCCATCCATATGGACACTAGGAGCTCTGATCAGATCATAATATTGTTTATTTTGCAAGACTTCTTATTCAGCTTAGCATATACACAGTAGATGTGTATGTGTGTGTGTGTGTGTGTGTGTGTTAGGGCAGGATAGTCCAAAGCTATATTAAACTGAATTGTAATAAGTAACTTCAGAATATTGAAATGGAACAGAATGTCTTTGACTGAGCTGTTGTCAGTTTGCTCTGAACTCCAAGTTTTTTTTTTTTCATTATTTTATTTATTTTCTCTCTCTTGGAATAACCTTCAGAACACAGCCCATGATTTTGTCTCCTTGAGAGACTTCAAAGCTCTGATAAAACCATGGAAGTGAAGAGTGAAATTGCTATTTCACAAATGGATGTGGTGTGCAGTCCCTTTGTCTGTTTGAACATGCTCCGTTCTATGTCCCATGTTTGAATCACTTCTAACCTTGTGAAGATGTGCTTCTAGTCAAGGCGCTCCAAAACAGAACTTCATTTTTGTAAAGATTTGATAAAAACAACATATTATTTATTTATCAAAACAGCTGCAAATAAAAAAGTCTATTTGTGGGACATCATTAAAATAAAAATGAGTCTGTATGAAGAGTAAAGACTAAAATTCCAAAATCTTGGTTTTACTGAAGCTATAGCAGAACCATTGGTCCTGTATCAGAATGCACAAACAGAACTGTTAAATGCTTGTATTTTTATTGAGATATATTTACATATATTTGTTATAAAGATGCCTATTTTTATTCTTTTAGAAACATCATTGTATTATACTGTATATAAATAAATATTCAAATATGAGACATGAGAATTTATGGGTAAACAACGGCCACTAATCGTCTTATATGCAGTGGTTTGCCTAACCTTAATTTTCCCACATAAACCATGCCCAGTGATGCCCAGTGCATTTTCACAGTTTAGAGCAGACACTTAATACCAGTGTTTGTGAGATTGAGGGTTTGATTCCTAATACTGGCTGATACACACTACCCTCAGTGTTGTGTGTCCTCCTGCCCTGTGTATTGTATTATCAGTGTCTTTTACAAAAGAAACACAAACAAACAAACAAACAAACAAAAACTTTCAATGTGTGTCCTAAAAGCACTCAGATTTGCACAGACTTTGTATTTCTGTCAAGACGCTTATAAAGAAGTTTGGACTTACACAGGATTTATATAAGAAAAGTTGACAATATCGTTAGACTTGTTCTTGTCTCTAAACTTTTGATAAAACTTATTTAGTATCACAAATGAATCATGTTTTGTTTAGTTTTTTTCAAAAGTACTGAGCATGCAGTTACGAAGTTTGAAGTGATTTGCAGTAGAAAAATATCCAGTCCAATGCTATCTTTGCCATAGTAACAAATCCGAGGGTCTCAAGCCAAACTCATTACTTAATGTGATTATGTGCTTCTAATCAGCCGCTGTAATCAAGTCTCCAGCACATTCTCCACACTCCTGAACCACACTCTCATTTTTTTAGTTTTCGTCCTTGGCATGAGAA